GAGGTGCTTGAAATGCACAGTATTGATGTCTGTTGTGCCTGAAAGCTAGCTCTCTCCTTAATGCTGTAAACAGTTACAACAGACAATTGGCTAACAGCAATTCTTTGCTTCAATGCCAATAATCTTTCCAGTTTTGCTAACATAATCAGTAGATGTATCCTATCAATATTTATACTAACATCTAACTAGGATTAGTTGAGTTGATATTCAAGGTGTCCAGTGATGCTGCTGGAGGTCAGGATTGAAACTGAGCTATCTGTTGAGTGTAGCATACAATGTAACTGTATTTAGCTGATGTAAATAAAATATTTTTGGGTTTGGTTTTTCCTCCCCTGTAAAATGTATGTATATCTGCTCTTCTGCAAAGAAACTTATGTCAAAAGTTAACTCATGATAGCTATTAATGGCTATATACCAAAAAAAAAAAAAAAAAAGGGAAGAAAAAGAAAAAAAGAGGAGCAGCAGTTTTGGAGTGGCCAATGAAGATTCCAGTCCTTGTGTATCATAAAAAGATATGAATTTTGATGTTTGTTTGTTGTTGTCGTTGGTTTTTTTTTTTTTTTTCTTTAAGAGGATGGTGATGTTTTCTTTGATATTTCCTTTCCCAGCTGCGTCACAGAAAACAGAGGCAGGCCGGTGATAGAAAATATGGTATCAAAGTCACTAAACCATAGCTTTCAAGGTCAGAACAAACCAAAAATGGTGTCTGCAAAACCCAGAAAACAGTACAATAATGCAATGATTAACAAGGAATTATCAAGAAGACTTAGGACAAGAACCAGTAAACATCAAGATGTCGGGCTGTATTGCGATTTGGGAACAGGAAGAACCAACGTGATTAGTTTTTAAACGACAAAATAAGCATCCTATTAGCTGTAAATGCAGATCAGTGTCCCTGTAGTTTACTTCAGATGGAATCCAATGAGAAAGGCAAATCCCATGTAATGAGTGGAGTTAAAGAAGCTTGATTAAGGGAATTAATTATTGAAAAAGAATGAATTAGATGGGACAGAAAGGGGGGTTTGAGAGATGAATTTGTATGCTTTAGAAGAATATGTTGCTAAATCCACAACAAAGAGACATAAAGCAACTTCACCCCTTGCCTTGCCAGCCCCTAGAGTTTAGACTTTAGGCTCTTTATTTTTTCTATAAAAGAAAATATCCTGGAGTTAATGATGTCTTCTTTTCCTTCTTCTTCATTTTTTATTTATTATTTATTATTACTATTTTTTTCTGACTGATTTTGTGTTCCCCCACCTTGAATTGTGGACATCCTCCAAAGTCCCAAATCAAGTCCAGTAACAATAGAGCAGGACCTCTCCCTAAAGCCCAAAACCTCTGACCCAAATCAGGAAAACCATTTTTTTTTTTTTGTTCCAAAACAGAAAACTTGAAAACAAGAAAACCAAAAGAATAATTACAAAATTTGAATCTCTCAGACATGCTTGCTTGCAGCATCGGTTACAGAAGATGAAATAATGGTCTTGTTTGATGCAAATAGTAGAAAATTAATATTTAACAATTATTTACTGTTCAATTAAAACTACCAGTTCTAAAACAATCACCCACTAAAACAGTTTCTCTATTGCAAATGCTGAAACTAAGCCGAACTTGTTTTGATAGAAAGACTTCCACTCTTTAGTAAGTTGATATCAGCCTTTAAAGATTAGAAGTAGACCTGGCAAACGAGTGGATTGGGTTGGGTTAATGTTGGGTTGACTTGGGTGATAAGTTATACAGGTTAGGTCGTAAACGAGCTGTAAGTTGAAAATGTTCAACTCTAACCCGACACTAGTTGGTTACGGGTTAATTCATAGGTTTACTTTATTTTCATTCTTTATAATTATTTTTATTGATTTTGTTATATATAAATAAAATTATATATATCTAAATCTAATTAAAGTATTATAACATATTAACACTAAACACTTTATAGTCTCAACCACAAACATTTAAATTAAAAAAAATTATAAAATTATAAAGTTATAAATAATAGTAAGTTGATTAACAATATTAAACTTAAATTACTTAAATTTCTTAGAAAAGAAAATTTTAATTTTACAATTATCTTGAAACATTTTCAAGGAGTTTAAGTCTTTTTTTTTTTTTTATGATGAATTGCTCTTCCAAGAACATCTTTTACTAAATTATTATCTTTATATCCTAATATTACATTTTAAATATTTTTAGTTGCATTATCATTTAATTCATGATACTTGATAATTAGATTAAACCCACATAATTTTTAGTGAAAGAAGAAGAAATTCTGATTAGTAAACACTCAAAATAAGTTCAAAACTATTTGAGTAACGAAAATGAGATTGAAGAATATGAATTAATGAAGAAAGTTACCAAT